AAAAATTATATATTGAAGCATATTCCAAGCAAAACACATTATAAAATATTAATTCCACAAAAAATATGTTTTTATTTATTCAAGGTTTAAAATATAACAGCCTGGCTTAAACTGAAACATGGTCATATGAAAAGTACGTTCAGTACCTGACCACAGGTTTTCACTTACTGTTATTTAATCTAAAAAAAAAATAAAAAATAAGAAACAGCCTTATCAGAGCACAAATTCTAATTTACAAAATATAACAATGCTTTAGTTTGCTCAACACTTAATGTAACATGAGAGGTTATAGTTCTGAAGATTCTGACTCATGGTCAGTATATCAGGTCAGATAATATAAGGCCACAGCCTTTATATATAGGAACTTTTAGCTCAATATTTTGCCGGAAATAGAGGATCATTAATCATCATCAATCATTAATTGATAATCACAGACACCAACAACAGGATATAGGGAACATAAAATATTACAAAATAAAAATTTAACTAACAAATATCAAATGGATTTTTTAGTAAATTAGCACTGCTGTGTTCTAAAATCGGACGTCAGCATTACATTACTGCTTTTAAGATGAGCCCCCAAGCTAGCCTAGTATTCAGATTTTTAACATGTTTTTTAAAACAAAGTTGTTGAGAATGTGATTCATTTATATTCTTTCTTTTGCATTGTTATTTTGAAAAGCATGAATGCTATGACAGTTCGTCAGTCATTTCAATGCTGAATTTGGTTGTTGCATTTGGTATCTTCAGTTGTGTCATTAGGAAAACTCTCAAAAAGGCCTTTCCACAGGAATTAAATTGTGAAGCTGAATCACACGCAGTTCTGGTTTGGTTTATTAAATTTTACTTCACAATCGTTTGCCATCATCAGTATTGTTTAACAACAGTACAGTCCTCAGGGACCCGCTTAGCTCAGTGGCCAACGCGACAGCCTTGTTAGCTTACCATATTGCAAAATAGTTTACAATCCAATAGTGAACAGAAGTGAATTTGAAATACATTTTTATTTTAATTGACTTTTTTGTAAGACATTTATATATCATCACTTTATTAATACATTTTCTAAAGACCTAAAATCTATGCCTTTATAAAGAAAACATATGTGGAGGAGAAAGATAAACAGGTAAAGAAGTTTACAAAAGTAGCATAGATGAAAAATATCAAAAGAAAAATCATTGTGAAAGATCTAAAGTACAGTCATGATTTGGTAAACATTTTGTCTGTTTCCATCATATCAACAGAATCACCTTCCTGAACAAGAAATTGAGAGAAAATAACCATAAATGTGTGATTTTTGGCCTACAGGTCAATAGAATCACATCTAATACTGCTGTGATGTGTTAAGGTGTATCCACTAATCAATTTTACTAATATGTAAAAAATAAAATAAAATGCAAACTAAAAAAAAAAAAATTAAAAGCTTCAAAAGCCATGATGATCTAAATCAAACTTTATTTTAGCACATTTGGTCTTGCTTTTAAAGATAAAAAAATAAGGGATGTTAAACTGCCTGAGCAAATAAACATTTTGTGCATGTAATGGGGGGCTGCATTACAGGTGATCTAGAAAGACCGCTAGCATAAATAGCAAACCCGTTCGGTGCTGTCCTTTTAAAATATGCAGATTGCATGTGTTACTGTTTGAGAGTGGTTGCGAAAACAATATAAAGAATTTAAGTTCAGTTTCTGTAGGTAATAATGATTATTTTGTCATGAAATTAACAGAAGTATCTCAAATTGCTATAAACAAATATACAAATAAAATAACTATATAAAATTAAACGTCACAAAACTAGTAAAAGTTGTTTGCTCAATGATTCCCCCAACCTTTGAGTAACAGATTTATGGCAAGAGTACCCTCTAAACATGAACACCTTTAGCCCCCTGAAACCTAGTAATTTCTTCATTGTCTGATCCCCCCTTCAATAAGACAACGTAGTCGTAATGTAAATCTAGAGAGCTAGAACCCTGTTAGGCCTGTGTGCCACATGTCACTAACATAGGAACCGCTCTGCTGGCATTAGTGCTGTTGCTGTTGTGGAAAGTGTGGCAATGGCAGGATTTGATTCCACAGACTCCTGGGTGAAAGACATGCGTGAATGTTTGCCACATTCTGGCGTTGCTGACAGAATCCATGTTCAATACAGGCAAACGATCCATTGAATTGTCAATACTTGTGGGAGGAAGTGCTTATGGAAAGATAGGAAGAGATGTGCTGGGTTGTGTCCTCTGCCTGGCTGTTTGTTAACAAGTTTATCAGTTTGGCTGACTGGTCAGTGCATAAGATTTTTCAAGCAGGAATCAGTGGGATCAAAGCCCTCCATTGCATACCTAGCCACACCAACTTAGACTTTGTTGTATATTTATCGACTTTCCATTTATTTCCCCAATAAGTCAATCCAGAGGTCGGCAACAAAACTAGCGACTATTTCCTGTTTTGTTGGAGACCTTGGTGATTTGAAAGCAATGATTGTTTCAAGTTTCTCCTCTTCAGCAAGAAATAAGTGAGCCCCTCCCTTCTCCAAAATAGTGATTGTATCCTTCGCTCTACACCTCCAGATTTACCTCCACTAACTACTCACAAAAGCTGCTTGACCCAATACAAAACAAGGTAAAATTTCTACAACATAATTGTTCTTTTTGTGGCACTCAGAGTATATTAAGAAAAAAACAACCTCTAGCCAAAAGGTAGAGAAGAGGACTTCCAAGTGATCAAAACAGAGTTAAGATTTTAAGTATTTTAGCACAAACGTTATTTTAACTTATGTTCACCTTTTAAAGATGTTGATTGATTGACTTTATTGATCTCACTGTGGAGAAATTTGCTCGCTACATCGGCTCAAATAGTCAAAATCAGAAGAAGGTGCCATAGGAAAAAAAAGGGTGCATGAGATATATATATATATATATATATATATATATATATATATATATATATATATATATATATATATATATATATATATATATATATATATATACAGAATGTGATGCAGTTGTGATTGCAGTCACTACATTGTTTAATATTTAAAGCTCTCATTGCACCACCCAGCATATACGAGTTCTCATTTTTGCCTGAAACTGTGAGCACATCTTGCTAGAGAAAGGCTTCTCAGTGTGAGCTTCTCATGTGTCGGGTTAAATGGCTTTTACAACTGAACCCTTTTTTACAAATATCACATAAATAAGGTTTCTCACCAGTGTGAGTTCCCATGTGTCGCATTAAACTCCCTCTAATGAGAAACCTTTTCTCACAAATGGTACATGAGTAAGGCCTCTCCCCTGTATGAGTTCTCATATGTTGATTTAAATAGCTTTTTCTGGAGAACATTTTTTCACAGGTGTTACACGAGAAGGGTTTCTCACTCGTGTGAGTTTTCAAATGACGATCTAAAACACTAGTCGTACGGAAACTTTTTTGACAAATAATACACCTAAAAGGTTTCTCACCCGTGTGAATTCTCATGTGCCTTGTTAAATGGCTTTTAACACCAAATCTCTTTTCACAAGTACTACAAGCAAAAGGTTTATCACCTGTGTGAGTTCTCATGTGATAAGTTAAACTACTGCTATCGGAGTAACCTTTTCCACAGGTTGTGCATGAGAAAGGTTTATCTCCTGTATGAATTCGCATATGTTTTCTTAAAAGGGTTTTGCAACTGAAACATCTTCCACAATCATTACATGTGAAAGGTTTATCACAACTATTTTCTAAAACACATTTTCCACAGGTTGCACAAGAGGCTTCTCTTTTTGTGTGGCTCCTGATGTGACGCATTAGACAGCTTCTGCTGGTGAATCTTTTTTCACAGGTTGTACACGGGAAAGGCCTCTCATTCGTGTGAGTTCTCATATGAAGTGTTAAATTAGATCGTTTTATGAAACATTTTTTACAGGTCACACAAGAGAAAGGCTTTTCGCCTGTGTGTGTTCTTATGTGTATTGTTAGGACATTTCTTAAACGAAAACTTTTTCCACATGTAACACATGAGAAAGGCTTCTTAGCAGCTTGCTTTTCCACGTGCCTAGTCAAGTGACTGTTTTTAGACAGGATTTTGTCACAAGTTTTCACAATACACGAATCTTTATCACTTTGTAGGTCAGTTTGCTTTGAAACGTCAGCAGTGACGTTCAATTGTTTGTTGTTTTGACATCTATCGTTTTCTTTCTGCTCCTCGTTGCTCTTTTCTCCTTGGTCTTCAGAACTGTTACTTTCATGATCCTGGTTCTCAACTTTGGGGTATTCCTGAGGAATGGCATGGCTTTTGATTGGATCTTTTTCATTGGGGATTATTTGCAAATTGCAAGGAAACGCCAAAATGTCATTAGACTCATTTTTCTTCACGAATGGCTTTTCATCCAAACTAATCCAGAGATGTTTCTCTTCCTCTTTAAACTGTTCTTGTTCATCTTGCTCCTGTTTTATCTGAAAAGGCTCCTCTTGTTTCAAGGTGGAGTCCCCCTTCTGGCAACTGGGCTCTTTGAGATCCTCCTCCTCTTTAAACACATGTGAGAGATCTGGAAAAAAAGAGAGAATAAAAGCTTATAAGTGTGAGTCAGAGAGCACACAATTCACTTAAAAAAGGCGTTATTTCAGTCCATTTTAAAATCATAAATTTACCAAAATAAAAATATTATTGCAAGAATTAATTTAAAAAATGAAGTTATTTTTGCTTAAATTGGGTCTTAATGATGCCATCTTTGTTACTGTAAAGATTTTAAAATTTCTGTGTAAAATTCCTTAATTCTGCAATACTTATCTAAAATGCTACGTCCTTTTGATTGAAACTTGATTACTGCAGTTGAGTTTTCTTATGTGGTTGTAAGGGGCATTAGATCTTGCAAGGTATTGAGGGCTCTGGATATCATTATTAATGTCAAAAGCTTTAGTTTTCACTACTGAGTCAGATAATACAATAGAGAGAGATGTAAAGCGCTTGAAAAATGGGCCCTACAAAAGAGATAGGTGATTAACTTTACCATATAGGCCCTGTTCCATAAGTTCATTATATATAAAGAAAAATATGTGGAAATAATCTGCATGAGCGTAATGACTGGACAAAGGATTTAAATGACCAGCAGCCGCGCTCTGAAGCTCAGCATGTTTCCCATCTCATCATAGGAGCCTTTATTACACCGGAAAACAATTCAGAAATACAAAATCCTTAAAGGCTCATGGACAAAGGGGATAAATGGAGGTCTGTTTCACGAAACAGGTTTAACAAAGTCAGATTCAACTCGCACTGCTAAATTAATGTAGCCTAAGGTCGGGAACTCTGAGTTTTCGGTTTCACTGTGAATGGGTTTAATCGACTCTAATTGGGTCCACACAGAGCTGAGCACGTAAGTAACAAGCATGAAAAGCCATTATCAGTGTATCACAGATGAGATGAGTCACCATGACAACAGGCAAAAGGAAGTTCCTATTTCACCCCACTGGAACTAGAGATTTTAATGCTGAAAATGAAAAAAAAAAAAGAGAAATTGTGTAAAAGACAGAAGAAACAGCACTACAGCTGCAAAGGAGAGGAAGATGGCAGAGTTAATGTGTACGTTTAAATGAAGTGGGCTATGGCAGGCCGATTTCAAATTAATTAAAAGCACTCTGTTGATCCATTTTTAAATCACTTAAATAAGATTCTTCCTGATTTTTCACACAGCACACACTCAGTATATATTAACCAGCAGCTACTTCGATGTTTAAGTAAAAGTTAGGAGACAGGTTGGTTAAAAAAATTACAGATGCCACAGAAAAATCTGTTTGTCAGACACACAGAGCTTTTTCAGCTAAAAACAGGAAAAGATTGTAAGTTTATACAAGTTGGTATTATAAAGCAAGAAGGTTGAGAAAACATAGTTTCTTCTTCTTTACTAGTGACAAAAATCTTGGCTTCTCAGAGGACCATGACTCCCAGTTACATTTTAAAATTAACATGTTTTCATATTATACAGACAGAATATGACTGCAGAGCTTCTACAAATCTTGAAATTTAGTTTCTGGCATCTTCATATTGGTAAATATCTTCATAAATATTTTTAAACAGAACACCGAGAGAAGTAGGGACAGCTGCAGATTTAAAGGTGAAACAGATTTACTGGGATATGCAGCATGCAATCAGTGGTGTCAAAAGTACACACATTTGTTACTTAAGTAGAAGTATAGATACTGCAGTTTATAAACACTCTGGTTAAAGTTGAAGTATCAACTTGACCTCTTTACTCAAGGAAAAGTGAAAAAGTATGTGCTCAAAAAACTAAGTATAAAAGTATAAAGTAACCTTTAAAAATAAAACAGCCAGATGCCACTATATGAATTAAAAGCTAAATTTTTCAACTATTTAAAAAAATTCTTTGAGATAGGGCCAAGGATGAGGGAGGTCTTGTTGGTCTCCGTCTCCCGATACGCTCTCGCCTGTGT